GTTGCTTTAGTAAAAAACAGCTGTAATCTCTTCCCTGTTTCCTAGACAGGTTTGCTGACTGCCTTGGATAAGAGAAACATCTAGGACTGCAGACAGGATCTTTGGCACCCATCACACTATACGTACCCACCCTGTTTCCTAGACAGGTTTGCTGACTGTCAAAGGTTCTTTGGTTAGTACTCATCCACCCTCCCAAGAGGTCTAGTTACTTCCAAGGGGCCATAGCTCAGAAGCAAAGCATGTGCTGTTGTATGCAGAAGGTTCCAGGTTCAGTCCCCAGCATCTCTAGTTAAAGGGTCTTAGGGAGCAAGTGCTGGAGAAGACCTTTCACTACCCAAGAGCCAGTGCCAAGTCAGTGAAATAGAACTGAGCTGGACAGATGAACCAACTGACTTGATATAGGCCTGTTTTGCCTGTGGGAAGGGCCATAGCTTCCTGGTAGACCACTTGATTTGCATGTAAAACTGTCCCAGATTCAGTGGCTGGCTTCCCTAATGGGAAGATTTCAGCACAGCTGTAAAAATCCCCTGCCTGTGCCCAGGAGAGTTGCTGCCAGTCAGAGGAGAAAATGCTTAAGCTAGATGGTTGCATTCAGTATAAGGTAGGTTCATACAGAAAAGGGTTTAAGACTTTGGCTGATCTACCTCCCTACAAGGCACCTAATGGATCACATGGCACCCATAAGCAGACAGAATTACCCTGCCTGAATATGGAGATCAGACTCTAATCCGAATCACTGCTGTCCTCGTAAGATTTGCCCAAGATAGAAAATAGACTCGGCTTCATTCCCATTGGAGAAGCAACTGAAGACGTTTTCTTGAACGGGGATGTAGACAGATCAAGATGAGCTGTGTTAGTAGTAGAAAAGAACAAGAGTCCAGTAGCACCTTAAAGACTGACAAAATTTGTGGCAGGAGATGAGCTTTCGTGAGTGCTACTGGACTCTTGTTGTTTTCTGCTGGGATGTAGACGGTAATTTTGGGTTTGAACCCTGGGCTGCCAGAAGATGCAAAATAAAAGTTTTAAGTTCTCTGTCCGCATTTGTGACTTTGGGCTGGGGGACCTTAAAAGAGAAAAGCAGCATGGCCTCCTTCTCACATACAAGAAGACGGGTTGAGTTTAGGGTAGCACATCTCCGGCTTCTGCTAGCCCCCCCCCCCCCATGCAAAGCTTCACAGCCGAAAATAGGCATTCTATATACGTGCATAACTCGATTCTCATACCACTCCCTGAGCTTCTTCTGCCCACAAACCCTACATGCTGGTGAGGAATCAATATGAGGTAGTGGTTATAGTGTCTGTCAAGGAACTGGGAGATCCAGGTTCAAATGTGGGGTATACATGAAGCCAATCGATAAATATTCCCCTCATGGTCTAGACTGAAGGTTTAATCTCACAGTGGATCAGGCGGTAATTTAGGACAGATGAGCTCCAGATCAAACACATTCGGTGTTATCTTCATCTTGATTGGGGTCATGGGGTGATAGGAAGCACATCTTCACTGGAGCACAAAGGGATTGTTTGAGAAAGTTCTCCGAGAAGGCCACTCCAAAATCTCCTCAAAAGACAAAATGGTGACCAGTGCTCCCTCTAAACTGTGGAGTCTTGTGAGCAAAAATTCTTCTTTCTGAGCTACCGGCATTAAAGTGGTGAGCGAGCAATTTGCCTACTGTATAAATTAATTTGCTCTGGAGCCATCCTTCCTGAGCTAAGACAAATATGTGTGAGCTGGAGGCTAAAAAACTGTCGGGCATGTCAGGCTGAATACATTACACCGAGGATGACCTAATAGGGACAGGTGGGATTTTTCTGGGTGTTGTGTTGGGGGGGGGGTGCTGTTATTCACAAGATCACAGGCTGCAATCTCAGGGCCCAGGGCTGTCAGTGCACGCACTTAGTGGCTTCTAGGGCTTCTGTGCATGCCTGCTTGTATTAACTGCTGCATGGAAACCAGAGATGGGAGGACGTCATCTGACCTTAGTGACTTTTTTTGCTTGGTGGTGGTGGAAAGTGGCATCAAGTCACAGCTGACTTACGGCAAACCCGTGGGGTTTTCAAGGCAAGAGACCCTCAGAGCTGGTTTGCCATTGCCTGCCTCTGCCCCACAGCCCTAGTATTCCTTGGAGGTCTCCCATCCAAATACTCGCCAGGGCCGACCCTGCTTAGCTTCCAAGATCTGATGAGATCAGGCTAGCCTAGGTTATCTAGAACCACACTCAAATACTCAAGGCCAAGGCTGTACTGACTGCAGAGTCACCCCTGAACAGCCATAAAACAGCCATAAATCTGCTACCATAAAACCAAGAGATCAAATGAAGTGAAAGCGGCAGTCTGGACGCTGCCATAAAATCTGACAATGAATCAAAGTGAAAGTGGCATGCCATGCAGAGAGGGACTTCTGTTCCAGCGTGGGTTTGGTAAAATGGGGGGGGCAAATGCTAGATGCAGACCGGGCCTGGGACAGGTAGCTAATTCTCTCTAAAAAACATGTAGGGATAAGTCCAATCTCTTCAAAGCCACATGACTGTAATTACACATGTTGAAAAGTATAAGCCCTAGGCTCCCTGGGTCCTTTTCACACACAAGTCTCTCTCTCTAAACTAGGGATGCCAACTCCAGGTTGGGAAATTCCTGGAGATTTGGGGGTGGAGCCTGGGGAAGGTGGAATTTGGGGAGGAAAGGGACCTCAGGGGGTTATAATCAATTGGGCTTCAGACCTGGCTTTGGGACCGAGTCAGCATCTGGATAAAGGCATGCCAGCCCTGTTGATCCTTCTGAGTCTATCAGCGGTCTCTGATACAGTTGACCATTTGGTCCTGATCGACTGCCTTGCCTCCCTGGGGGTAAGGGGCACTGCCCTTAGTTGGTTTTCCTCGTTCCTCCAGCAATGCTCTCAGAGGGTCGCTTTTGGGGAGGGGAGGTCTTCCCGACAAGACCTGAACTGTGGGGTCCCACAGGGGTCAATCCTCTCTCCAATGTTATTTAACACATATATGTGCCCTCTTGCCAAGATTGTCAGGAGGTTTGGAGTTGGGTGCCATCAATATGCTAATGACACTCAGCTCTTCCTTCTGCTGGATAAGAAGCCGGTGGTAGGGCTCTTGGCACTATCCCAGTGCCTGGATGTGATTAGTCCACTGGTTAAGGGAGAACTGGCTGAAGTTGACTCCATCCAAGACTGAGATGCCAGCTGGAAGGTCATTCCCGAGACTTGAGGGTGCCCAGTTGACAGCTGTAGACTCTGTAAAGAGCCTTAGGGTGTGGTTGGATTCTGCACTATCATTGGATAAACAAGTGTCCGTGGTAGCACGGTCAGTGTTTTTTCACCTACGCCAGGCCCCCCAGCTGGCTGCTTATTTGTCTGGATCAGACCCTGCCACATTAATCCATGCAACGGTCACCTCCAGCTTGGACTATTACAATTTGCTTTATGTAGAGCTACCCTTGTAAATGCTTTGGAAACTGCATGTAGTCTGGAATGCAGCTGCCAGGTTGCTGGCTGGAACATCACGATCAGCTCATATTACTCCAATTCTGCAGCAGCTGCACTGGCTACCAATTAGTCTCTGGATTTAATTCAAGGTGTTGGGGTTAACCTTTAATGCCCTTAATGGTCTGGGACCCGCATACGTACCTTTGGGACCACCTCTCCCGCTACAACCCTCTGTGTCCCTTCCGTCATCGTCTAGGAGCCTCTTGCAGGTGCCTGGCCCCAGGATGGCTTGGTTAGCTGTCACCAGGGGAAGGGCCTACTCAGTTGGTGCTCAGTTGGTGCCCCTACCCCGTGGAATGCATTCTCAGATGACGCCCATTGTTTTTACCTTATTGGTTTTTTTGTTGTAAGTCGCCACAAGACCCTTTGGGTGAGCAGTGACTAAAAAATCTGATAGATAAATAAAATACAATGCCATAGAATCCACACTCCAAAGCTACGCTTTTCTCCAGGGTAACTGATTTCTATAATCTGGACACCAGCTGTAATTCGAGGAGATCTCCAGGCATGCCCTGGAGGTTGGCAACATCACTCTAAACATGTTGTTTTTGATACAGTGGAGGCTGTCGTTGTTCTTGCTGCCTTCTTCCTATAATTTTTATTTATTCATTTAGTGCACTTCCGTCCTGCCCTCCTTTTAAGGAGCTCAGGGCAGCATACATGGTTTCTCTCCCCTCCTCATTTATACCCTCACAACAGCAACCCTGTGAGGTAGGTTAGGCTGAGAGTGGCTGGTCCAAGCCAGCTAGTGAGTTTCATGGCAGAGAGGGGATTTGGGTCTCACAGGTCCTCCTCCAGCACTCTAACCTTGATGCCACAGTGGCTCTCAAGGCAGAGAGTGCCTGATACCAACTCCACCCTGATTCCCAGCATCTCCTAAGTCTGTATGACTCTCCATATTAGAGCACAGAAATAGCCTGAAAGATAATCTCCACACACACACACACACCCTGGTCAATGAACATTCAGTCTGATGAAGAGTTCTGGAGATTTTTGAAAGCTTGTCCACTGTGTATTGTGTAATTTTGGTTGCTCTTACTAAAAGGGTATTGACGTTGCTTTGGTGCCATTCTGTGGGCCAGTGTGGCTGTTTGGAAGGTCTGTCGGTAGGTAATGTGAACAGCCTCTGCCTGAGACCCTGGAAAGCTGCTGCCAGTCTGAGTAGGCAATACTGACCTTGCGGGACCAAGGGTCTGATTCAGTATAAGGCAGCCTCACGGGTATACGTAGTTGTAGAACCTTCCCTACCTTCCCTTCCTCTCTTTGAATTTCTTTTTGATTAAAATGGAATTGATTAGAAACTGAATAAAATCCCTAAAAAAGAGGGAAAGAAATGGACCGTTGCACTTCGGGGAGAAATCCGGTCAAATAAGAAAGTGTCTCTTAACAATCCCAGTTGGAGGTGACACTCCTCTGAATGAAGGGATCTGATGTGGGACAGAGGACCAGAACACACCTAGTATCAGCAGTGCCCTACGGAGAGCCAAGACATACCTTGCTTGTCCCCATTAGATCATCTCTGTGCTCGTCAAAGTCTCCTCTTTTCCATTTACGGCAGAGTGTTCTTTTGTCCCTTCCTGCTTCGTTTCTGGACTCATTTGTTCAAACAGTTTGGACAGCTTGGTCAATCTCATGCTGCTTTGGATGTTCCTGGCCGCAAAAGCATAGAGCAGGGGGTTGATGCAGCTGTTAATGAACATTATCGAACCTGCAATGAAGGTTCCCTGGTTTGCAGTCTCCTCCAGAGCTTCGGATGCCTCCATGTCTGAATCTTCCATCACAGCTGAAGCAACAGTCATTAAGTTAACAACATGATGGGGGAGCAAGCAGAGAGCAAAGGACACCACGATGGAAGCGACCAGCCGGTTTGATCGTTGCCTGGATGAGCCCCTCATGCCGCTGATTCGTTTGGCGATGCACACATAGCAGATGGAAATGATGGCAAACGGAACCAGAAAGCCCACCAGAGTCTCTAGCAAGAGACAGGCCACCTTCTGAGAGTTCGAATTGTAGCTGCGGGAGGCACACTGTAGGCCAAAGTCTGTCTCCACTGTTTCTTGAAAGGGAAGGATGACCGCTCCAAAAGCAATGGAGACAAGCCAGATGAGAAACATCACTAAGTGGGTGGACATCTTGTTGGTCCTCCGTTGAACAGAAAAGGGGTGAAAGACTGCCATGAACCTTTCCAAGCCCAGGGCCGTGATCAGGAATATGCTGGCATACATGCTGCAGTAAACAACAAAGACGAGGCCCTTGCAAGTGGCAGTCTCAAAGAGCCAGTCATTGGCAAAAGAATAAATCCAGATGGGCAAGGTCACAAGAACCAGGATGTCAGCAATGGCTAGATTAAGGATCAGCATGACGGACAGAGACCGTTGCTTCATTCGTCCACAAATGGTCCAGATCACAAAGACGTTTCCGGGAAACCCGACGGCAAACGACAAACTTAGTATGGTGCAGACCAAAAACCTCACAATGGAAAATGTTGGATGATTCTCATTTTCTTCCGACAGACTCATTCTTCTCAAAGCAACTGTCTTTCTTTGGACCAGAGTTTTTTATTGGTTCTGCACACACTGCTTCGTTTCTACAGTGGCAAAGAGAGTCCCAGGGCTCTCCGACTACAAAAATGTAGCTCGTGACTTCGGCATTCATACCAATAGTAGTTTCACATCCTGTTTTTTTTCTGTAGAATTTTTTTCTGCCGAGTTCAGACTTTCAGGACTTGAGAAAACTAGATGCCTTGTGTGCAAAATTCTGTGCTGTTGGTTTGGTTTTTTTAAAAAGTGATTCACATGTGGTCTGGAGCCTAGTGACAGACAGAGCTAAGGATGATAGAGGCAGTTTTGCCCGTTTTACACAGACACACACACAGACACACAGATACACACACACACGCACACATAGGTGGCTTCTGTCCTAACTATCACCTCGGGTCAAACATGACTTGTAGGTTTTCAGACACCTCCAAAAACCTCCAGAACTGATTGTGATTGCAGGATGATAGGATGAACACCATTTGTAATTATGTCGTTACCATGCGACCTTCTAGTCTTTCAAAAATCCTTTGTCTCACTATAGCCTAACAAGGACAGCAACTCCACACATTCTGTCAATTTATCATAAGAACATAAGGAGAGCCCTTCTGGATCAGACCACTGGCATCTGTTACCAGCCTCCTGTTTCACACAGTCGCCAACCAGTGGCCCTGGAGGTCAACAAACAGGACACCTAAGAAATGGTTTGCCTAAACCAGGAAATCAGGGAAGGAATGACAGCACATGAAAGCAAGTTCAAGGGATACTTCTTATGATTGTGCTGTAATGTTAGAGACGAGACTCGAGGCAGCAGGTGAACAGTGATAACAGCTTTATTCAACGGAGTCAGAAGAATCAGAACGAGACAAACAACAGAGCAACAGGCTCCTTTTTAAACAGTCTGGGCTTGGCAAGCCACGCCCACATGTCAGATAACAACCAATCATATTTTGTACATAAGGACCAATCACTTTGTTTCCCTCCAGAACTTCCCTGGTTCTGATAGGTCGTTTACAATACCTTGCATCAGACTCAACCTCAATACATAAATTCATTCTATTCCATACATAACATGTAATTTGTAATGTTTTGGGGACGGGAGGAATTTTTAAACAAATGGACTGCTATACTGAATAAATGTTCATACAATCTCATGCTGCTCATAATAGATCAAGCTGTTCAGGAGTCTGAAAAAATAGAAACAGACTTTAAGGATATGGAAGATAAATTACAAACTACCATGTCTCTTGATAATTATAATGCTTGTCTTAAAACATTAGAAGAGGAATTAAAAATGTTTGAAAATAAAATTAGAGAGAGTAAAATCAAAAAATTTGAGAGGGTATATAAGTGGGGATTTTCAGCAGAGAATGACACCAGAAGGGTCTCTTGGGCAGACTCTAAACATCTTGTGTCCGATATAGACACTACTGAAGGAGAAGACTCAGCAAATACTTTGGGTGATGAGGGTCCATCCTATAGACCCAGCCTGTATAGACATACTAAATATAAGGCGAGGCAGAATTTTTTTACAACAACTGCCTCCAAAATGCAGGGGGAAGAAGCCCTAGTTGTTAACTTGTCATCACATAGCCTTACATCTGAGGAGTCCCGGATTTTGAATTTGGGTCTTAGCTTTGTGCCTACTCCCTATAATAGTTTTAAAACATGAGTTGATTTATTCAAACTGATACGTAATCTTAAATTAAGAGACTTTTTTTGGTGCTAATGAAATTAGAGAAAATAATCCATTTAAGCCTAGGTCACAATTTATACCTTATTGTTATAAGCCAGCTATTAATGTATTTGAAAAATTGGTATTAAAGGATATAGAAAACGTAGAGAGATCTTTTAGAAAAATTAAATATAATTTGACTGCACAGGAGCACAAAATCTTACTCAATTTGTCTAAGGACCCTAATATCATCATTAAGGAAGCTGACAAGGGGGGAGGTACTGTTACTATGGATAAAAAAGATTATTTGTCTATAGTGAATGGATTATTACAGGATACTGATTCCTATATGCCTTTACCTAGTGATCCTACGCCTAGAGTATACAAACAGTATTAAATGAGGCTGTAGCTTGGGATTATATAGATATGAACACGGCTGAATTTCTTCTTAATAAAACATCTAGAGAACCAGTATTGTATGTATTGCCTAAGATCCATAAAGTCAGCATGCCACCTCCAGGACGCCCGATAGTGCCCAGATCTGATTCTTTCTTAGAGCCCATCTCAAAATTTTTGGATTCTTTTCTTCAACCGTTTATTTCAGATATACCATCATACTTGAGAGACACAAAAGTTTTCATTAGGAAAATAGAGGGCATGACAGTCCCAAATGATGCTATTTTAGCCACTCCATCATGCTGCACTCGGGTCTGGAACTGCTGAACTACCAACCTTCTGGTCTGCAGTTCAGCCTCTTAACCACTTGAACCACCACAGCTGATGAAACTTCTGGTGAACTTCTGCTTAAATCCAGACGTGATCACTGACGCTTTAGGATTTTGCAAGTCTGATTTACCATAGAAATTGTTGAAATCCTAAAGAGTCAGCTAGAAGTGGACACATGAACAATGTCTTTCCCTCTCTCGTTTCCCCCCCCATCACTCATTCAAGCAGTGGCTGGGGCCATGAGGCACTGGCAGAGGGGAGATCACTTGCCATACTGGGTAAGATAATATCAGGGCTCTGGACGTTTTTTCCTTTACTGACCCCGAACTTTTACTGATGTGAGTTGACAAAATGGCCGTATGTTTACTTGGATGGACGTATGCTGCCCTCTTAAGGCTATTCTGAAAACTGCATCCAGTCTTTAAATACAAAATACGGTTGCATCCACATGTAGCATGTGTTGTCCTCATACCAAGCTGAGAAACAACTGAGATACCAAATGACTTGCTGATAACTGTTGATGAAATTATTTCCCTTTTAATAACCGCTTTGGGGAGTAAAAGAAGTAAGAGCACCACAAAAAATGGCGATATATTATTGATAGGCTTGCCAAGTTACTCTCCCTGTGTAGCCCTAGTTCCTTCTATTGATCCTGTCTACATTTGGTTCCTCACTGTTCAGTGGAATGGGCTAGGAGAGGTGGCAGAAGCATGGTTTAAACCAGGACTCTGCAACTGACAGCTCCAGAGGCAAATGTGAGTCAGTACAGAACCAGTTCAGGATCTTTCAAAAAGAAAATGAAAATGAAATCTTAATGTTCAGGTGTATTGGAGGGGTTGAATGGAATGCTAGAATAATCAATGTGTGAAGGGAATGGCAGGCAGAGATTTTTACAGATACTAAACAGAAGGGGGAATGATAAAAGGTGAACCCTTGCCGATAATCCAAGCGCAAACCATGTCAGTACATAATCACGCTGAGTGCTCTTGTGTATATTTATCACTCCTTGTGAGACCTTCTTGTGTGTGCCACTTCCTAGAAAAGGATGTGCAGCAACCAGCATTCAAGCAGTAGAAGCTTTAAGGATTATCAATCAGCATGTCAATTGCCAGTAATGTTGAACTGTATAATTTTCCTCAGTAGGATAGCTGTATTTAGAATTGCCAACCTCCAGGTGGGGTCTGGAGATCTCCTGGAATGACAACTGATCTCCAAGTTATAGCGAGCAATTCCCCTGGAGAAAATGGCTGCTTTGGAGGATGAACTCTATCGCACTTCATCCCTGCAGAAAGAAGGATGGAAGATGAACAACAGAATGAAACCGAGATGGTATGGCTGATGTTGTTAGGTCTGGTGATTGTATGTTCAGAGTGAATACGGGGACAAACTGCAACTGATAGCTCCAGAGCCAGTTTGGTGTAGTGGTTAAGTGTACGGACTCTAATCTGGGAGAACCGGGTTTGATTCCCCACTCCTCCACTTGCAGCTGGTGGATGACCTTGGGCAAGCCACAGTTCTGATAAGAGCTGTCCTCGAAAGGGCAGTTCTCTCAGAGCTCTCTCAGCCCCACCTACCTCATAGGGTGTCTGTTGTGGGGAGGGGAAGGGAAAGGAGTTTGTAAGCCACTCTGAGACTCTGAGTGAAGGGTGGGGGGGTATACATCCAATCTCCTCCTCCTCCTTTGGCAATTTTGGTTTATTGCAGACTCCTAAATTCATCTAAAGTCACCTCATTTCCTGGCTCAAGTAGATTTACAGGTGAAGAAGAGTTCTCCAGAAGCAACCAACAAACAAGGAAATCCCTCCAGTCAGAGACATTCCGAAGTGTGAACTGGAACATCTCTCAGGGATCTGCTCTCCTTTTAAACCTGTGACAGAGAGACAATTGCCAGGTACGGAAGGGCCTTCAGCAGTGCATAATTGTTGGGTAGGGCTGGCACAGGGATCCTCAGTATGAGAACTGGCATTTTTACGAATGTGTCAGCAGGGATGCTTCTGCATCTTGGCTTTCCTGCATTTTGGTTTCCTCACCTATAATTTACTGAGATATTATGTTGCATATATGGCTGAGAACGTTCGAATGATGTAAGCTTAATGGATGTGTATCCCAGAGCCCTGGGCAAGCAATAGCCACACCTTGCCTAACACAACAGGGGCTCTGTAGGTGGGTGGCCCTGGGGGGCTAGCGATTGCTCTGGCTTCTAAGCTTTAGGGAATCTTGGTAGTTCCCACAAGGGGGACAGGCTTGCGTGGCTTCGATCCTGTTGCTGCTTCAGCTGCTGACACAGCAGCATCAACGCTTCCCGGTGGCCGGTTTCCCCACAATTCCCCTGCCCCGGTCTCTTGTCAACAGCCATTGCCTGCCCCCAGGCTACCAGGGCTTTTCAATGTTTGTAAAAAATAAGCAACATCATACTGTTATCATGATATAACAATATGTGTAACAGGTTATCTGAATTCTCAGCTGTCATTTTTTAAAGCAAATACATCTGTAGCACCTTCGGTTGTGGAGACACGAAGGGAGCGTTGACCCTTGAAAGCTCATACCTCGTAAATTTTGTTGATCTCTTGAAATATACTGG